TACTTGAGAGAGGGAAGCACAAAGTACAAAGTCATAATAGGGTGCTTAACCTAGAGGGAGAAAGGAGTCAGGAAAGCCTTGCTGAAGTGACACTTAGGTTGAGACCTGAGGGTTAAGTAGGACTCAGACAAAGGGTAAACTCATCTAGGTGGAGTGAACAGCTTGTTACAATGATCTATGGCCCAGGAGTGGGAGAATGAGTAAGTTTCTTGAAAAAAATGTAGGTTCAGAGTGGATTGACCATATACTGAATTAATGTGGAGCTGAGGCTGAAAAGGTAAGTGGAGCACTCATAATCTTGTGCATCTTTTTGTGAAATATAAACCGAGCCCTGAGAGCAATAAGATGTCACTGAAGGTTTGTCAGCGTGGTAGTAACACAATCAAATATGTCTCAGAAAAATCACTTTGGTGATTTTCACTGCCACTTGGTGGCAGTGAAAACTAAATTGGATGGTAAAGAAGCTATTGCCATTTGATAGTTGATAATGGTTTGAAATAGGACAGTGGCTGTAAGGATGAAGCAGAGTGAGTGAAGAGCTTCTTAAGAAGTAAAATCAGAAGTAGCGAGGGAAAGGGAGAAATGTAAAGTTATGGCTCTAGTGTCCAGCTCACCCTCCCGAGCCGCTGCCTCACCCTCCCGAGTCGCTGGGATTACAGGTGCCCACAACCATGCCCAGCTAATTTTTTTTTTGTATTTTTAAGAGATGGGTTTCGCCATGTTGGCCAGGCTGGTCTTGAACTCCTGACCTCAGGTGATCTGCCCGCCTCAGCCTCCCAAGGTGTTGGGATTATAGGCATGAGCCACTGCACCCAGCCATTTTGAACATTTAGACTTGAGTTTCCTGAGATGCTTTCAAGTATGTTTCTAGTACACATCTGGCTAAACTAAATCTGAAGCACAGAAGAATCAAAGTTGGAAATGTGGATTTTAGAATCCATTTAGAACTCATAACTGAAACAGGAATAGTGAGATCAATATACTATTTTGTTATTGTACCCAGAATCTTTCCGTTCTGTTATTGATGGAATTGCCACCATTGGTGAGATCTTGGTAAGAATAAACTACTTGATAAATGATCCACTGTAAAGCCAGATATGGTGGGAGCTTTTCAGGTGTCAATCTTCTAAGTGTAGCAAAATACCTAGATTACCAAAACAGGAAATTTTGTCACCTAGCATCCTAAACTGTTTTTTGTTGTTGTTTAATATATATTATTTGGAAACCTCAAGACATAATACAAAACCTAGATATTGAGGGAAAGCTTGCTTAAGCTTACATATTCTGTGTTAAAATCTTAGTAATGGCCAGGCACGGTGGCTCATGCCTGTAATCCCAGCACTTTCAGAGGCTGAGGCGGGTGGATCACAAGGTCAAGAGATCAAGGCCATCCTGGCCAACATGGTGAAACCCCATTTCTACTAAAAATACAAAAATTAGCTGGGCGTGGTAGCACATGCCTGTAGTCCCAGCTACTCGGGAGGCTGAGGCAGGAGAATCGCTTGAACCTGGGAGGCAGAGGTTGCAGTGAGTCAAGATAACACCATTGCACTCCACAGTAAGACTCCATCTAAAAAAAACAAAAAACAAAAAACAAAAAACAAAAACCTTATAAAAACGTTTTCAGTTAAAAGATAAATTAGCCGGCCAGGTGCGGTGGCTCATGCCTGTAATCCCACCACTCTGGGAGGCCAAGGCGGGCAGATCACGAGGTCAGATCGAGACCATCCTGGCTAACGTAGTGAAAACCCCGTCTCTACTAAAAAATACAAAAAATTAGCCGGGCATAGTGGTGGGCGCCTGTAGTCCCAGCTACTCAGGAGGCTCAGGCAGGAGAGTGGTGTGAACCCAGGAGGCGGAGCTTGCAGTGAGCCAAGATCGCACCACTGCACTCCACCCTGGGCAACAGACCAAGACTCCATCTCAAAAAATATATATATATAAAAATTAGCCTTCCGAAGCCTGCAAATGTCAGCATATATAATTGTAGACCTGAGGACTAGGTAACTGATGTTTTTTAAAAAAACATTTTAATATAGTTTCCTGTCAGATACAAGTAAAAGGGACTTTAGGCCGGGTGTGGTGGCTCAGGCCTGTAATCCCACCAATTCGGGAGGCCAAAGCGGGCGGATCACCTGAGGTCATGAGTTCAAGACCAGCCTGACCAACATGGTGAAACCCTGGGTCTACTGAAAATATAAAACTAGCTAGGTGTGGTGGCGCATGCCTGTAATTCCAGCTACTCAAGAGGCTGAGGCAGGAAAATCGCTTGAACCCAGGAGGCAGAGGTTGCAGTGAGCCGAGATCACACCATTGCACTCTAGCCTGGGCAACAAGAGCAAAACTTTGTCCTAAAAAAAAAGGGGGGGGGGGCCGGGTGCGGTGGCTCACGCCTGTAATCCCAGCACTTTGAGAGGCCGAGGCAAACACAGTGAAACCCCGTCCGTACTAAAAATACAAAAAAATTTAGCTGGGCATGGTGGCGGGCCCCTGTAGTCCCACCTACTCGGGAGGCTGAGGCAGGAGAATGGTGTGAACCCAGGAAGCAGAGCTTGCAGTGAGCCGAGATCGTGCCACTGCACTCCAGCCTGGGCGACAGAGAGAGACTCCATCTCAAAAAAAAAAAAAAAAAAATGGACTTTATTTTCAAATCCAAGTTTCTCATAAACCAACCTGTCAAGAAACAAATTGCATACTCTGCCTCTTTTATCAGTAACTGATTTTTCAAAAATAGCTCATGTTGTGAGGCATTAGATTATCTTTAAAGCATGAGAAATTTGGTACCGACTTACTTTATGAGCAATTTTGATTAAATGACATTGATAAATGACCTCAGTTCTCAGATTATTAATTATAGGAACTCAACTGAAGAAAAATAGAAATAAAATCTTAATCCAAACCAATGGAATGATTCATTGGACTGCACTTGATAACCACTGCTTTGTTTCCAACATTTTGTGCAGGTAGATTTAGTAAGCTTTTTTTAAAAGGCACAAAGGCCTTCATCTACAAAAATTAAGGTAGTTTAAGAAAGCTCCGTATCTAATGTTTCCCAGCTTTCAAGTAGATCAGATAGAACTGGAATCTTAATATGATGCAAACATGACAATTCCCAATTTCTTTATCCCTGCTGTGTTGCTTTTTTTCATAAACCCAACTGCCTCTACCTGCAGAACTGGATCAAATTTCTTAGTCACTAAACTCCACCACGAAACCACCTCAAAAGGGACCTGACTCCCACCAACCATGAAAGAACAAGATACACTATAAAGTGAAAAACAGATGCTTTTATTTATTGTATTGGAAACAACTTAATAAAATTTGCATCTCTACATATGGGAAACTGCTTTGAGTAACTGGGAAAACAGCTATTGCATGGGAAAACATATGCAAACTAGCATCATTGTCTCTAGACTAGGTTCTTCTTATTGATCTCATGTCATCATAAAGCAGCAACAGCAGCTTCTAGAAAATGGAGAAACAGCAAAGTCCTGCAGTGGAGCTATAATTAAGGTTGAACCATACATTCCACTAATCCTGCAACTTTCCTACAATCATTTTTTCTGCCTATACAATCCTGCTTCTTATAGGATGAACACCTAGCAAAACAATGTAAATTTGCTGAAAAACAAAACTACAAACAAATGAAAGAACTTAACAGAACACACAGCATTAGAGGGACTAGGAAGTGCAAGGTCTTAATATACAGTACAAGTAATAAAGCCAAGAATTTTCTAATGCTGACCAGTCTGAACACTGAAATTAAGAATCAGTTCTTTTTACTTCTCTAGGAGTGATTCTAGCTCTTCTTGCAAAGAGCTGAGTTGCTCCTTTTCTCGGTCTTCCTTTTGTTTCAGCTCATCCAGTACAGCCTGAAATCTGTTCTTGAGAGCCAGATTTTCCACTTTCATGATGAGATCCTCTTGTCGTTTTGCCCTGTCCTGGGTCTCTTGGAGCTTGCCTTTCATGTTGTCAATCTGCTTCTGAATTCCCATAACCAGCTGATTGGTTCCCTCATTTTCCTGGTGCTGTTCATCTGATTCATTTAGCTTGTCCTGTAGTTGTCTCTCCAGATCTTCCTCAGTATCAATGATGTTTATATCTTCTTCATCTTGATGCTGGGTCTCATCTTCATCATCACTGCTGCTGCTGAGGTCATTGAATATCTCCCGAAGCTCATCATGTTCTAGTGAGTCATGGCCCTGCCTGTGACCAGACATTCCTGGAGAAGAGATATCCAGGCCTTGATTTTCTGCCTCCTTTGTTTCATCTTCAGCAATTATTTCCCACCGAGTACTAACAGCTTCAGCATCTGTACTCAGCAATCGTTTCACTTCTTTTTCCACATCTGGAGATTCAATATATTTCTTCTTTGCTGTCTTCCGGAACCTTCTCTTCCTGACATTCTTCAGAGGCAGAGTAATTCCGTGATTCCAGATAAACTTTTTCTCTTTGTCCTTATCCTTTTTCTTGCTTGCTTTAGGATCAGTGCTAGCAACTGGCTCCTCCACAGGTGGATAGAGATCACCATCAACTGTGGATACAAGCATCTGACAGACATCAGCTGTCTTGTAAAAGGTTTTCTTATCAATGGTTTTCAAGCTTTCCATAACACAGGGCAGGTCTACCAATTTTGAGGCCAATGGAACACGGTCCACTCTGACGATTCCATGACGCCCATCAGGATGTAACTCAATTGTCAGTCTGTCCTTGAGGTTGACATGACCAGACTGTACTGCCCTTCTCACAGTAGAGGCATATTCTGGAGGCAGACGTAAGATAAACTGGCTCTCCAGTTCGTGAGGAGCATCATCTTTGCTTTTACTCATCTTTATTTCTTTGTGACTCACTTCTCCAATAAATGCTGGTTACCGTAAAAAGTTCCAGCTACTGCAACAGCTTAAAACACCAGTTCGCTATGAATTGAAATATTTTAATTACAAGTTCTCTGTAGATCAGCAGCTTAGCGTCTATTTTGCCTTCGTTTTTATTTAAGCTCCAAGTCTTTTCTCTAAATATGCTGTGACCGAATACCAGTCGTTAACACAAAGGCTTATTCACAGACTTAAGTTCATTAAATCAGATGCAATGCCAAGTCCCAACCTCTAGGTGCCGCTGCCCGACAACGCGGAAAGAGCTACCTAGCTAGGGAGCAGGAAAGCAAATGGCGGCTCCCGCGGAACGGTTTTCGGCCCAGAAAGGCCAGCAGAGATACTCTCAATTTACAAACTCTCCCGGAACAGACACTCAAAACATCAGGGCTCAGTGAGCTCTCTTCGCCTCGGGTACTTACAATCCAGTGACGATTATAAGTTCAGTTTCACCGGGCCGGAGCGAAGGGAAGAGGAGGCCGCAAGGAGCAAAGCGGGAGGCAGCCGAGCGTCTCCTTGTCGTTTCCTTAATTCTTCCTGCCGCTTGGCAGAGTGATCCACTATCGATTACTGATGAAAGCCCAGGATGGGCAACGCGAAATCTTGCCTAGAGGCGCAGCTCGGAGAACCAGACCCGGCACCTCGCCGGCCCTCCGTCCGACCGCTTGCCCAGAGAAAACGGAAGTGCACGTCACGACGCGGGGCGGGAGGTGGATGTGAGTGACAGCCCCTCTGGCCGGAAGGGCGGAGCCCCGTGGCGCGCAGGCGCAATAGCGCAATTACGCTGCCCAGCGTGAAACTCGTCTTTTCGCGAGAACTAGCTTTTCCGGGATGAAAATGATAGTGTTTCCGAAGAGCTGTTGGTTTCAAACTATTTAGAGCTTGGAAGTTACAAGAAAGACACAGATTCGTCCCCCCTAAGCCAGCACTTTTAAGGGATCGCTGTGGGGCCGGATGGCTTCTAGACTTCCGGGTGATTCCGGGAGATGGGGGATGCCTGGCAGTAAGCGTCTTTGCTTCTGGAAACATCTCGGATGCTTCCTAGGGTCCAGCCAATCTGGTGCCAATACAAGAATGTGTAGCTACTATACAATGGATTTTAAAGTACCCAAATCAATGGAGTGAGGAGGACATGGAGCTGACTATATAATTCTAAGCCTCTCTATATATGTTTGTTTGTTTGTTTGTTTGTTTTGGAAATGGAGTCTAGGCTGTCACCCAGGCTTGAGTGTAGTGGCACAATATTGGCTCACTGCAATCTGCACCTCCAGGGTTCAAGCGATTCTCCTGCCTCAGCCTCTTGAGTAGCTGGGATTACAGGCACCTTCCGCTACCCCAGCTAAGTTTTGTATTTTTAGTAGAGAAGGGGTTTCACCATGTTGGCCAGGCTGGTCTCGAACTCCTGACCTGAGGTGATTTGCCTGTCTTGGCCTCCCAAAGTACTGGGATTATAGGTGTGAGCCACCGTGCCTGGCCCAAAGTCTATATTTTGTTTAATATAATTCCCTGTAGGGGAATTGTGCCTCTGGGTTTCCTTCTGTTCTGTAATACTCCTGAGGAAACAAGGGTGATTCCTTCTTATATGCTTGATTTAGATGTAAATGTAAACAGAAGGAAGTGTTCTTCTGCAAGCACAGGTTCATTTTGGACAGAATTGTCTGATAGACTGAGCATCTGGTTAAAGTAGACATAATTGAAGTATTGTTTCCTGCTTCTCATGTACAAGTAATTTTAAATACTTTGACATTTTTTTTAACTCCACCTCTACTATTTTGCTGTTTTGTGCTTGTCTTTTCTATGGAGGGTCAGGTATTCATCAACACATATTTTTAGCATTTTGACATAACTGGGTAACAGTTGGTACTTATTTCTATTTATTTCCATTTATTCTTAAAATATCTGGTAGAGCATCAAGGCCATTAACATTTAATTTCTATCCTCTAAAATATTACCAATTGCCCCTAAATTTAAGAGAATTCTCTTAAGATGTAATTAACATTTCCAAAATTCACTTTATTCCTGTATGATTGAAAGCTCCATGATAGTGATCTTTTTCTATCCTGGTCATTGTGTCCCAGTGCCTAGTACCAGAACATGGGAGATACACAAAAAATATTTGCTAATTGAATGAAAAAATTGATCTATTTTGAAAGATCATAGTCTTAAATCCTGTAGTGATTTGTGAGAGAAAATACATTCTTTGTCACTTTAAAATGAGATAGAGCCACTTTACATACATTTCCTGTCTAGTCAAGGACAATGCTAATTGTTATGAGGTGGGGAGGTTTGCTAATAGTGTGTGTGAATGTGGTTTAGCTAGAATGAGATACTGTCGTGGGAGGAAATTAAAATGACCTGAGGTTAGTTTGGTTGTTAATGTTAATTTTAAAAGAGAAAGTATGCCCTTTCAGATAACTGTAAATTATTTCTCTTTGCTTATAATGTGTTGAAGAATGTTAGCTGACTTACCTATACCTCTTTTTCAAAGATAAAGCTTTTTCTACTACAGGCATGAGCCACCTCGCCTGGCCATGTTTTATTTAGCCATATAAAATGTGAAGTAATTATACTTGAAAATAATCCAAATATTACTCAGCATCTTCCCTATGAGTTTTATGATGCTCAAATATTCTTATCATAGAAGTTAACTTGAAATAAATTGTATCCAATTTTTCATTTTCCAAAATTACTATATATTTTAGTTTCTAAACCTTTTTATACATGGAATATTGCCAGACATAGTTAAAAGGATTAACTAAGGTTTTCTTAATGTATCTAACTCCTTCAGTCCTAAAATATATTTTCTGCTTTTGAGTTTAACACATTTCTATATGCTGTTTTTAGGAGAGGAAATTATATTGACCCTAAATATTTTTTAAAATTGGGTTTATCAGTAAACATTAAGATAATCTGCTGGGTGCAGTGGCTCATGCCTGTAATCCCAGCACTTTGGGAGGCCAAGGCAGGTGGATTGCCTGAGGTCAGGAATTCAAGACCAGCCTCTCCAACATGGTGAAACCCCATCTCTACTAAAAATATTTTTAAAAATTAGCCAGGCTTGGCAGCAGGCGCCTGTAATCCCAGCTACTCGGGAGACTGAGGCAGGAGAATTGCTTGAACCCGGGAAGCAAGGGTTGCAGTGAGCCAAGATTGTGCCATTGCACCCCAGCCTGGGCAACAGGAGCAAAACTCCATCTCAAAAAAAAAAAAAAAAAAAAAAAGATAATGTGATGTGGCAGACCTCTGCCTATCACTAAGGCCTAAGGCCTCTGCCACATCACATTATCTTAATGTCTACTGATAAATCCCCAGTTTTTTTTTTAAAAAAAATTCCATTAGACATTCAGAAAAACTCTGAATTGATGAATTACACTCCTGTGGTTGTTCCATGGAATATCTGTGATAGTAGTGAACAAAAGATTTGGGGAGAGCAATAAATTCCCCGGTGTGGTAACAAGTCCTCCAAAGGCTTCCTGCCTGTCATTAAGGAGTGTGGCAATCAGGTTACTAATAATTATGTATGTTTGAAAATTCCATTTAATACACTTTCTATTTCCTTAAAGGGCTCCAAAGTATAAGCCCTTTAATACACTTTTTAGTTCTTTAAAGGGCTGCTTGTACTTTGGAGGTTAAATTATGGGTGATGGGAGAAATCCTGCTTATATTTAGGAGGTAGAAAATTATAGGGGTGAGGAAATAGCAAATAACACAGAAAAGCCAACTTACATATTGCTATATCACCATATATTTTAAAGGTAAAAAGGCTAACTAAAAATATATAGCAGTTCCTGTATCTAGTAGGATGTTTTCTATAGGAAAAACATTAAAATCTCATTTACACTGGTTTAAATGGTAAGAAAATCTATGATCCCAAAAAACAGGTAGTCCAGCGCAGCTTTGTCCAATAGAAATATAATGTGGGCCACAGATGGTCAGCCATAGATGTGATTTTAGATTATCTAGTAGCCACATTCAAATAGCAAAAAGAAACAGGTGAAACTTCAATAATTTTAATCCAATATATCTAAGATATAATTGTAACATATTTTTACAATAATGTAAATATATTAATAATACATTTTACATTCTTGTTTTGTACTAAATCTTCAACACCTAGTGTGTGTTTTGCACTTACAGCACATCTCAGTTTGGACTAGCTGCATTTCAAGTGCTCAGGGACCACATGTGGCTGGTTGTTACTCTAGTGGACAGGCAGGTCTAGAAGTTTCAGTGCCTCTAGGCCAGATACAATCATGGTATAGCACAAATTGTTTTTTCTTCCTAATTTTGAAGAATGAGCACTTATTTATACTTTTTCTATTATTGTTTCAGCTCTGCTTTCCTCTCCCTGTAGAATTCCAAAGGCTGCAGTCACAAGATACCAGCCAGCAGCAATAACTGGAGAACTTTCTTCCTTGTCCGTGACAAGAGAGTCACTCTCCCCAAGCAGTCTATCTTTCAATCCAATTGGACCAACTTAGGCCATGTTCCTATTCTTCGCTCATTAATACTCACTAGGGAAATACCCTAAGCCTGTGTTTCTGAAAATGGGGAGAGGTGAAGAGACATTTGGTAATGTCTGGAGATATTTATGGTTGTCACAACTGTGGGGGGTGGGTCCTACTGGTATCTAGTACATAGAGGCCAGGGATACTGCTGAACATTCTACAAGGCACGGAACAGCTCCCCACCACAAATAATTATATGGCTCAAAATAGTACCAAGGTTGAGAAACCCTGCTTATTATTTTAAGTCTGTATTCCTAACTAAGCACTGTCAAGAGGATGAGATTATCATTATTAGATTAAATTTATAAGAACCTACTACAGCTCTGAATAGGTTCTGCTTCCCTAGGTACATGAAGGGTGAAAACCTAAACTAAAAGGAAGTGTTACAAGAGGAAAAAGGGCATGAATAACCAATAGTATCCATAAATGAGCTGATTATTTTTGTAATTATAAAAGTATATATATATTTTTAAAGTATGGATAAGCATCGAATGTAAATTCTTTATATCAGTAGTCACATAATGCAGTTACTCAATTTTACATTTTTATCAATGTTTTCTACCTTTTATAGTGAAATTTTCTCCTTTAATATATTGAATTTACAGTGAATTTTTTATAATAATTTTTTACAGTGGATAATTTCTTGAGTAGCCATTTTCACGAAAAATAAGTTTCAATAGTGTGTCATCTTGAAAAGAAAACGTCAAGAGGGAAAAATTTGTAAGAATTCTTAGTCGAATTTTAATGAATTTTAGTATGGGTGCGGTGGCTCACGCCTGTCATCCCAGCACTTTGGGAGGCCGAGGCGGATGAATTACCTGAGGTCAGGAGTTCGAGACCATCCTGGCCAACATGGCAAAACCCCGTTTCTACTAAAAATACAAAAGTTAGTCGAGCATCGTGGCGTGTAGCTGTAGTCCTAGCTATTCAGGAGCTTGAGGAGAATTGTTTGAACCCTTGAGGCGGAGGTTGCAGTGAGCCGTAATCACGCCGCTGCACTCCAGCCTGGGTGACAAAGCAAGACTCTGTCTCAAAAAAAAAAAAAAAAAAAAAAATTAAGAATTTTAATAAAATGTTTGCATTAAATTTTGTGAAATGATCATTTTGTTAATATTTTATCAAAAATAATGATTTGCACCCTTCTTAGTAAAGCAGCTGGTATTTTAAAATATGTCTTGAGAAAAAAGCCGATACAGTCTCTTGTGAGGACCTTGAAAACTAACCTGCTAGGGATATCATACTGGGCCTCTGGGTGCCGCTGTCCGCCAATCCGTGGCTAGAGGGAAACAAAGCAATCCACTGACGCAGCAGTCCCTGCAGGCTTTTTAGAAACACTATAGGAGAGGACTCTGCCTGCTGTCTCTCTCACAATCTGCTCCAAATTTCTTGGTCAGGAATCTCACGATGTCTAGTGACCCAGAGTGAGGAGCTGCCTTTTATTCCTGAGCATCGCAGGGAGCAGGAAGCACGGAGCAACGGTAGAGAGAGGTATTCGGATCTGAGTACCAGCAAGAAGAAGAAACAGAGGAAGAAGTTCCCCATAAGGAAGGCGTGAGGAGTGCAGGAATCGCTGTTTCCCTGCCTGAGGTCTTTATTCTACGTAGCTGATATGCTGTAAGATTCTGGAAGAGAAGGCTAGGGGTTGAAAGGTTGGTAATCTCTCAGAAGATCTGTGTCTCGGTGACGGGAAAAACTACGGGTAAGTGCTGAGAAGCCTCTCTTTACATACAGCTGGAGAATGAGCCAG